TGATTTAAATACTTCATGGTCTCCCATGGATTTCATCTCTTTATCCATGGCCTCCTTCCATCTTTCCTGTTCAGCTTTTGGTAATGCCAACACCTCTTTATAACTTCTTGGCTCATACCACACATTGCAAACTTTTACCTTGCTGGCAGAATATCTGTCAGGCGGAATTCCTTTGTTACATCACTCTGAACTTCGTGATATTAACTGCACCTGTGTCTCAAGTCTTTCTGGCTTCATGTCCTGTTCAGCCTTTCCTCCATAACATTGACACCTTCAATAATCATTTTTCCATCAAAAGAGCAAGGATTAAACTAAACTTATTGCAGGATTCAAAGGAAAGGGGGATTTGGCCTTCCAGACTTGGAGAAATACTACCAGGCTATAGCACTAGTATGGGTAAGAGATTGGATATTATTAAAGAACAGGATACTACTATGTCTGGAGGGCCATGACCTACAAATAGGATGGCATGCTATATTATGGGATCATAAATATAAAATACATAAATATTTTCGAAGACACTATATTAGACAAGCTCTTATCAATGTACGGACAAAAATTTGGCAACCAATTTATACCCAAGTACCTAGTTGGATCTCACCGTTAGAAATATATGTACACCCAAAATTTACCCAATTAGATAAGATCATAACATATAAAAATATTTTAGATGAAAGAGGGGAATTGAAATCCAGGAAAACCCTCCAGGATGAAGGGATAGAATTAGAATGGTGGGCATACCTGCAACTGCAGGCGAGATATTGGAAAAATAAAAAAGAGTTAGGCATTAAATTAGAACCAATAGAATTGGATAAAATAATATTGGGATCGGAGGATAAAATGATTAAAAAATTATACCACTATTTGTTAGATCTGGCAATGTATGAGGAACAAGTAAAAGAGACTATGTTAAAATGGAGCAAGGATTTTGGTCTTAATTTTGATCTGCATATCTGGCAAGAACTATGGGCAAGAAACAAAAAGCTTACTTTGGCCACCTCTTACAAAGAAAACCTCTATAAAATGTTCGATAGATGGCATCTCCCACCCATAAGATTAGCTAAAATGTGTCCTAATGTCTCCTCTAAATGTTGGAAATGTAATCTGACAATTGGAACATACTGTCATATGTGGTGGGAGTGCACGTGAGCTCGTGATTTTTGGAATAGGATCAAAGAATGGTTGGAAGAAATATTAGAGCGAGCGGTAGAGCCAAAACCAGAACTTTTCCTATTAGCTATAACCACGCAAAAGTATGATAAAGGCGTTCTCTATCTAATGTTACACATTCTAACGGCTTCCAGACTGGTCTTTGCTCAAAATTGGAGGAATAAGAGAGTTCCAACGGAAGAAGAGATCCTGTATAAAATCCTTTCATGTGCTGAGATGGACAGGCTTACAATGATTATGAAGGACAAGACAGAATTCGAATACTTCAAAATCTGGGACAAATTTTACCGTTGGTATGAATTAAGAAGAACTGCTTGGATCTCAAGTTAATGATAGGATTGAAATGTATATATAACTGTACATATAATTGTATATTTAATTGTATTACATAGAAGGATGAGGCTTATATAGAGGTTAAGAATGGTGTATTATCTTTTTGTACCACAAGAAACAAACTATTTGAAATACTTACTCTGGAATGTTACGCTTATCCATTTTTGTTTTAATTGTATTACAAATAAAAAACTTTTTATAAAAAAATAATCATTTTCCATCATTAGATGAGTTATTGTCATTAAATAAATCACTGTCATTAAGTGAGACATACCCAGAATTTGCATTAATTCTGTCCCAATTTTGTTCTGCAAAATTAGCAGACCTTGAAATTACAATTCTTTTACTTCCATCACTATCCTTTTGACCCTGGTTCATAGCCCACAAACCTGAACTCTCTTGCCTTTTGCTGTCCCTTTCTTCTGATTGCCTTCGGAATATATACCCATGCAGTACTTCCAAAAATTCTCAAATGTGCCAGTGATGGCTTTCTCCCATATAGAATGGCATATGGAGTATTATTGATGGAGGAACTCCACAGCCTGTTAACTATATAATTGGCAGACAATATGGCTTCTCCCCAATATGACCTGCTCATACTAGAATTCTCTAATAATGAATCTTTCATTGTTTGCAAAACACCATTCCTTCTTTCAGCTATACCGTTCTCTGCTGCTGTGTAAGGATTTGTACGTCTGTGTCTTATCCCCAACTGCCCCAACCATTGTTGGAATTTAGTTGACATAAATTCAGTACCTCTGTCAGTTTGCAACTGACATACTTGTTGTCTGCACCTTCTCTCTACAAAACATACCCACTGTTTGAATTGTTGAAGCACCTCTGTCTTACCTTTAAGCAAGTAGCAAAACCCATGTCTGCTGTAATAATCAACAATTACCAGTGCATACTTTGCTCCTCCCAAACTGGCTTGCATAGGTCCCACCAGGTCTGCATGGACCAGCTCTAGAGCTCTTTTTGTTTGTCTTGTGCTATATTTACTAACTGGGAATGCCTTTGACTTCGATGCTTTGCATACTGCACAGTCCAAATATGCATCCCTTCAAATTTAGCCCTTCTGCAAACTCTTGCATTTGCTGCAAAACCTTAAAGCTTGCATGGCCAAATCTTCTATGTAGAAGATGAACACATGAATCATGCTCTGCAACATTCTTAAATATATGGAACATTGAACCTTTTGTCCCTGCAATACATATAGATTATCTTCCTTTATGCCTTCTGCACAAATATTCCCATTCCTTTTGATGAGACATTTCCCATTTACAAAAATGACCTCAAAACCTTGTTTGTCTGAATTAGACACACTTAACAAATTATGTTCCATCTCAGGTACACAAAGCACATTGGTAAACTTTGATTCTAAATATGGAATTTTTACATCGCCTCTTCCAATGACTTTTACTTTCTGGCCATTTGCCAAAGCTACAGCTTCTTGTGCTGCTGGAACAAACCTGCAAAATAATTCAGAGTCATTAACAATTGTTTGACTTGCCCCACTATCTATTAGCCACTTGTCTCTGTTGTTGCTATAGCAAACGTTTGCATCACCAAAATGTTCCATTTGCAAATCAGTCTTCTTTGCTTGCATAAATGTCCTTCGCTGTAAATTGTTCCTCTGCAAACAGTTCCTTTTCAGATGTGTGCTTGCACCACAAATGTAGCAATTTTTCTCTTGCTGAGCCCTCTGCTTGCACAATCTTTCCTTTGTTGCACTTGGTCCCATCTGCTGCTTGTTCCTTCTCCGGAGACTTGCAGTCTGGACTCCCTCCTCAGGAATTTCACCTCCTTGTGGCTGTTCCTAAAATGGCGCTTTTCTTTTTCATTAATCAAACATGCCTTTAAAGCTTCAAAATTTAAGTCTTGCTATTCTTTACACTCAAATATTGCAGAAACTGTATCCCAGGTTTTATCTAAACTGTTCAACACCAATAAAACCTTCTGGGACTCAGGGAATTTAATCCCACGTTGTTCTAAGTCCAAAAATAAACTTTGCATTTAATTTAAATGCTGTTCCACAGATTTGCTTGGTTGCAAACAGGCCCTGTAAAGTTTTCTTGACAATTGCACTATATTGCATGCAGAAACATTCACGTGCACAGCTCTCAACTTCAACCAAATCTCCTTTGCAGTCTTTAAATTTGCAACATTTAGAAATTGTTCATCATCTAAATTCAAGATGAGATAAGCCATTGCTCGATCATGACTTTTCTGATCAGCAGCTGCAAACACGTGTGGATTTTCTACAATATACCACAGCTCTTTTGCTTTCAGCAAACATTCCATTTTAGCAGCCCACACAATGTAATTTTTTGGCCCAAACGAGGCACAGAGTTTTCCTCAAATTCCATTGCAGCCATTCTGCTAATTCTGCCTTGTTCTTATACTTTCTAAACACAGGCAATTTCTTCCAGCTTTAAATTACAATGCAGTCCTTAGTAAGCTCTGGGCCCATAACCTGTTAGAGAATTTTAATTTCTCTGTTGGTAAAAATAAATCAGAAGCTCTCACAATTGACTGCATTTAGCTGATTCAAATAACCTCTTTATATTCATATCAAAATATTTACAATACCATACATTCTTCTTTACAGCAACATAGCACAATGAAGACTTCTTACAGAGAGATACAGAGACAGACCTGAGACTGAATAAAAAATCCAGTTCCTAACTCAATACCCTTTTTGCACAGACTCAGTAGCACTTTTCTCACATTGGCTGACTGAATTACCACATGACTCTTCCTGCTCATGAATATTCCAACAAGATTGATATGGTATTTCAAGTTTAAGTAAGGGACTGGGACCTTACAGTATTTATAGTGCCTGTTATAAGTGGCTTTTTAGATGTTGATTGGGGTGTGTTGATGGCTGGCTTTAAAGTGCTTAGCTGTCATTTACTTGTGCGGTTCAGTCCTTGCCTTCTAAGTACTTGATAGCCTGGTAGTAAATCAGCACTCCTGTTGATACACCCCAATCAACATCTAAAAAGCCACTTACAGCAGGCACCATAAATACCACATACAGAACAGCACACACTCTGCTAGAGAGAAGTTCCCTGAAGGTGGGCTCCAACATGAGTCTGAAAGTTTGGAAGACAAAACTTCTGATCCTGGTGACCAACTCAGATTGGATCCTGCATTTAATAACTCTGCTTATTGAAAGTGCAGCTGTGCCTGAAAGAGGCACTAACATTTCTATATCCAGCTCAAATTCTCTACTGTCTGGTTGAAAAAGCAACTTGTTTGTGCAAATTAATATCATATTTCCTGAATAAATATCACCATAGTCCATTTTCTGATTAAGAAAAGAGGTAACCAAAAGTTGGAGAAGAAGCTACAACATTTCAATAAAACTTTGGCATCAGAAGATATTGCAAGCTGTATGTGATTCTGTTGAAGAAAACCTGTACCTGTGATAATTGTGGGACATTTCCTTTTTTGAAAATTCTAATCTACTGGTAATATTGCTCTTATTTTTACAGTTATTCAACTGTTTTGCTTGTTTCCATCTTATTTTTCCAAATCTGGGTAACCAGCATGTCAAAACCTAACATTTTGATCTTAATGGCAGATGATCTTGGAATTGGCGATTTGGGATGCTTTGGAAATGATACTATCAGGTAAATGTTACAAAAAAATAAAGTATCTTTCTAAAATTAGATTTTAAAGAGTTTTTTAAAACTATTCAAGAATAATGCACTAATTTCTAATAGGGGATAATAAGAAAGCTAAATTAAATGATATGAAAATATTGTCTATCAGTGCAAACTATCTAAGAAGCCATATAAAAGATACATATAGAGTTAGGCCTACAATATGAATCATAGATACCTAGTACATGTCTAAGTGACATCACATGCATCATGATTGTTATATAAGGAAGCAGGTACCTATGATATGAATAGATATTTGAATTTAGGAGAGTGATCTCTTGTATTACTATGCCTGTTCACTTAGAAAAAGGGGTGAAGAACACAAAAATAGAAGACACGCAACAGAAGCCCCTTAAGCATAATCATTCTTATAATCAAATTTTAGTCACACAAGACAAGAATTTTCATAAGCAAACTTGACAAAAGAAATCATAGTAATTTGATTAAGTTATCCAATTATGCATTTCCAACAGACTTCAAAATGAGCATCAGTTTCCATAACGCGTCAGATTTCTTATAGTCCCATTCAGTTTTGCCATCTAGTGGCAACAGCAATTGCTGAATAATACCTGACTTGCAAAGCTAAATCAGTCACACAACATCTTTGACTTGAAGAAGAAAAAGAGATTATATTCCTGTCTAACCCCTTTCTTTCTAAATGTCATGTCTCCTTTGTATGACAGAGAGACTGTCATCCACTGATGTCAAACAAATGACTCCCCACACTCTTACATATAGAACCCAGGTAATTTATAAATGTACATGTAATGCATTTGGTTTCATATGAGCCAAAGCAGCTTCTATCTTACAGAAATTTATATTCAGTGCAGTAACTGACACCATGGATATATGGGAGGGGAGGGCTTTTCAGGAATGATTATGTGGTAAATGCTTGGGATTAATAACAATTGAATAGGGATAATAGGATTGATTCAAATTCATCTTATTTATTACAAGTTAAATTAGCAACAAGTTAGATAAAATCAGGAATTTCTAGTGTTAATTTTATATAAACCTTAATTGTACATGATAATTTAATTGTATTTGACAATTTTGCACGTTCAGCAATGACTAACTGCAAAAGTAGGATTGCTTTGATAGATATAATCCTGGAAATATGGTTTGAGATTGGCATTCCTTACTTTTTTTTAATGAAGAATGTAGACAATTGCTACATTGCTTTTCCCTTCCTTCCCTCTCCCCCCAATGCTTTCTTTACAGTAACTCAGTAGCCAGAGAAAAAGATATTTAACACATTTTGAAAACAATCTCGCTATCACAAAGGTTGAAAGAAGAAATCACAGAGTCAACCTCTTAGGGCTTGGAAAGCTGTTAACCAGGGAATAAAGAATTGCAGAGTTACACAATGTGAGATTCATGATGATGATCAGAATGGTTATGTTCTGGACTAAGAACTCAGAAGGAAAGAGGAATCAGAAATACCTGCTCAACACTGCTCCAACAAGAAATCAACAAAACTGTGATCTCATCCATTAACCCCACCCCACCCCTGAGATACTGTGAATACCTATCAAATAAAAATTACCAAGTCTTCTGCTGATCATCAATCAAGCATGTGAAAATAGCAAATTTAGCTAATCCAGAAGCTCCAGGTACATAATGTAAAGAAACACAATAAAAGATATAAAGGATAATTTGGCTGTATCATGTAATCTTTATATGTATCTTAACCATATTGAACTAGATGATGGAAAGTCATCAGGAATTAAACCTTAGTAAGACAGTGCATCATCGTTGAACCAGCATCAGTAGGCAATGTTGGGACTTGGTCCCCAGCATATCACTTGAGACAGAGTTTTAGGCCTTATTCTGAAAAGAAGTGCTAATGTTTTGCTTTGTTAGAATTCTTGAAGATGAGACAGACAATTATATTTGGGTATCATTTTCACTCTCCTTTTTAGGACACCAAATATTGATCAGCTGGCAAAAGAAGGGGTAAAACTTACTCAGCATATTAGTGCATCATCTCTTTGTACTCCAAGCAGATCTGCTTTCCTGACTGGTAGATATCCCAACAGATCAGGTTGGTAGATTTTTGTGAAAATAGCAGACAAGAAGGTTGCTTACTTGTGGATATGCTATTCTGTTTTGAGAACTATATTAGATGGAAAGAGTAGCTAGACCTTCATATTGCATATTAAATATATTTATTGTGTATTCTCTTTTTGATATTTTAGGCATGGCAGCTACGACTGAAAGGCATGTCGAGGCTGGTCCTGGTACCACAGGAGGGCTGCCTACAAATGAAACCACATTTGCTACCTTATTACAGCAGCAAGGTTACACTACTGGCATAATAGGTAATGTGAGTTCATAATGACAAGTTTCAGGGTTCAACCTCAATTCAGATTTAAATTCCTTTCCCCAAGTTTTTCAGATGAAAGAATAACATTTTAGTATGGAATAAGCTATATTTCTTTGGATCATTACAGCTTTTACTCTTCATATTTGAAAGTATAAAACCTACACTTCCTATTCCTATTCCAAACAAAAAAGTATACATATTTTAGGTTGATCAGGGCAAAGTAACATACATTTTAATGACCCCCCAAAGCAAAATACACAATAACAGTAGCTACTTAATATAGGCATAATATCTTATAATCTCATCTCTTCAAGAATACAGTTGTAACATAATATAATATAGTTTATTTCACAGTATGCAGATTGCTGCAAAAAACAGCTCTAATGCTAGGTTGGTTCTGCTTCCATATGTTCCAAGAGTTTTCAAAAGTTAAAAAGTCAGGATTTATGGTTTCCCTCTTTTAAATAATTGATTTATAACTGGCACAAAACTGGGCATGTTTACCTTGGGGGAAAATCCCATGGAATTCAGTAAAATTTCTACCTACGTCTGAACTGATTTACATTAGGCTGAAGAGCATGGATCCCTCTTAAGGTTGCTGACTTGAGTTGCCAGCATCATTCAGAATTGGCTCTATTAGATGTAAATGACAGGAATTGTATTTCTACAAATGTTCTTCACTTCACTATATTATTTTTTCCACTTTTGAGCATGTGTCCTTTCTAGTAAATGGTTATCAAATTGATTATTAATCCTTATACATAAATGTTGAATCTATTTTTGCTGAGCTATTAACAATCATTTTTGTATTTGTATTTTCAGGAAAATGGCATCAGGGTTTGAACTGTGAATCTCACAATGACCATTGCCACCATCCTTTAAACAATGGCTTTGATTATTTCTATGGTGATCCTTTCACTCTTGTGAACGATTGTCTGAGTTGGGAATATTCAGAGCTTGAACCAGGAAATAATAATCCATATTATGTTCAAATAGTTGCCATTGTGCTGTTTACTCTTCTGGTTGGAAAGATTATTGGTTTGGTTTCTTTGAAATGGAAAATAATTTTCATCATTATATTGTGTGGCATTCTCTATATTACCTATACTTTTGTGCATTATTTATTACTGAAATCCTGGAACTGTCTGATGTTCAGAAATCATGAAATCATTCAACAACCACTGAAACTAGAGGATGTGGCTTTTAGGATAGTGAGGGAAGCTGTCTCATTTATTGAAAGGTAACTAATATCCAACTTCAGTAGAATATTCCCACAATATTGAACATGTGCTTGATTCCATCTATCCACCCATTCATTTGTTTGTTTGTTCATTCATTTATTCGTTCATTCAATATATATGTCTGCCTATCTCAAACAAGTGATTCTCTGTAACAAACAATCATAGAATCAGTTAAGAAACTGCAATCACAACTTACAATCACATATTAAAGATTAAATACATATAGCAGGTGAGAAAAATATCACAATCCATTGATATTAAATATAACCAGAAATATGACCCTTCACACCCTTGGGACTCCAGGCCCAGGGACATAACCAGGTCTCCAAGGCCTTACAAAAGGCCAGTAAAGCCAGGGCCATCCTACTCTTTGAAGGGAGGATGTTTCAAAGGGTAGTCACAATGGCAAAAAAAACTCCACATCTCCTGGTCCCCGCCAGCTGATATTCCTTGACTGACAGAACTTGGAGCATGCCAATCTGCAGACTGGATTGGACTGGTAGAAACAACTGGAAAAAAATAGTACCACAAGTAATCTCTCAAGCCATGAAGGGCTTTAAAGGTGACAACCAGCACCTTGGATTTCACCAGAAACATACTGACAACTCACAAACCAGTGGGACTACATGTGCTGAGTAACTGACACCATTTACTACCCCTACAGCTTCATTCTGTATCAGCGGAAGCTTTCAAATGCTCTTCAACGGCAGCCAATGTAGAGCACATTGCAGTAATTTAGACAGGAGATCTCAAGCACACGAATGACAGCAAGCAGAGCCACTGTTGATGTTATTTTCTGTGTTCAATGTGGAAGAAAATTCAAAATGTGCCCTATAGATGAACCTGTAGATATCTTGCCACAAGTACCACACCCCTTGTATTTCAACTCAGGATCAGAAATATCCACATTAACTAATCCATACTACCCAATCTATCTAATGTTGTCTTGGCAATTATTCTTTAAAAAATGATACTGCTTAGTATCTTAGGTTCTCTGGTTTGTTTTTATGCATTAACACATATGGAGTATCTTGTTTGATTTCTGTGCACAATCTTAACAGGGTTGACTACAAAATAAGATGTTTAAAATAGCTCCATGAATAATATTAATGAAAGCAAATATACATGTGCCAGGATAATGTTGCAGGATCCAATCTGAGTCAGTCACCAGAACCAGAGGTTTATTATTCCAAGCTTTCAGACTCATGCTAGAGCCCGAACTGAGTCCGAAAGCTTGGAAGAATAAACCTCTGGTACCGGTGACCAACTCAGATTGGATCCTGCAATAATATTAATAACCACAAAAACATTATACTAACAATGCCATACTTTTCAAGCAGCAGCACCCAACAAATTGCTATAGTCTTTGCATTTTTGCATGTTCCTGAAAGCCTAACATTTCTTGAAAGCCTAACATTGATAAGATAGAGAGTATATTCTGTATATAGATCTCTCTAGACCCAGACTTTGCTATGGGGAAATTAGTTTTGCTGTAATATTAAGGATCAGAATGCTTTACAAATATATTGATACATTTCAGCCAAAGATATTCTTATGACCAGAGATATTTATCTATACCTATAACAAGGATTCATTTGAATTTGAAATATGGCTTTATCTTGCACTTTCCATGGGAAAAAGATATGGAAAATCTATAATCTTTATCCATGCACATGTAGTCATAAGTTATGCATTACACAAATTTAATTTGAACCAGAATCAGCAACAAGGATAATTGATGCTTAGTCTAAATAACTAGTTCTCCCACAGCAAGGGTTGTATGGTGACTCAGCGGTTAAGATGCTGGGCTTGTTGGCTAGAAAGCTGACAGCCCAGGTTCGAGACCTGAGCACCGTTCAACAAGATGAACTCCTGTCCTTGTCCAGCTCCTGCCAATCTATGTATCTGAAAGCATACACTTTTGAATAGATAAATAGGTACCACTTTGGTGCTAAAGTAACAGCACTCTGTGATGTCATGCTGGCCTCATGACCACAGAAATGTCTTTGGACAGTACTGGCTCAGTGGCCTTGAAATTGAGATGAGCACTGCCTTCTATGATTGGCAACAACTAGCGGAGTAAAATCCACAAGTATCCCTTTTTTTACCACAGCAAAGGAGTAAAAAAATTTAAAAGAAGCATACTATTAGGCAGACAGGACACTCTTTGTCCATGCTTATGCTTGGGATCTGCCCTCTAAAACCCCTTCTGTGCAGGTGCAATATCCTAGCAACCAAAACATTTGTACCGAGGACATGCTTTTTCACTGCTGCTTTTCTTTCATCCTCTGTCTCTTTATCTCCCCATCTAGTTTTCAGCCTATAGCAATATAGCCCTCCATTGGAGAAGAGCAAATAAAGTCTGATATCATATAATAGTGTCACCCATTAATTCCACTTGGCTAAATGACATACAGGTAGTCCTTGACTTAAAACCATTTATTTAGCGACCATTCAAAGTTACAATGGCACTGAAAAAAATGACTTACAACCAATTTTTACATTTATGACCATGGTAGCATCCCTATAGTCATATGATCAAAATTCATACACTTGGCAATTGGCTCATATTTATGGTGTTTGCAGTATCCCAGGATCATGTGATCACCTTTTGTGAAAAGTAAAGTCAATGGGAAAGCAAGATTAACTTAACAATTGTGTTATTAACTTAACAACTGCAGTGATTCACTTAACAACTGTGGCAAGAAAGGTCATAAAATGGGGCAAAATTCAGTTAACAACTGTCTTGATTAGCAATGAATTTTGTGTTCAATTGTCGTAAGTTGAGGACCACCTATACTTTTAACACTGAGTTGATTTATTTTATCTTTGTTTTTTCCAGAAACAAAAACAGGCCATTCCTCCTTTTTGTTTCATTCTTACATGTCCACACACCATGTTATAGCACCAGTTTGTTCCATGGAACAAGCAAGCATGGCTTATATGGAGACAATGTTATGGAAATGGATTGGATGGTTGGTGAGTAATTAAAATTGTCAACTTTCCTGGAACCCTTTTCTTTTTATTGATCTTCAACATCTTTAACATATTCAATTGTTTTTATATACCTTATCTGCCAATAATTAGGGACAAAATATATAATTCCTCTTCTATACATACATTTTAAGACAAAAAAAATAGTGTTTCATATATACTCATTAAGTTATTTCCTGTCAAAGAAAGAAAGAGAAATATAACTAAATCTAGTTTTTGCAGAACAAGTAAGAGGAGAAATGTTAGAAGCTGGATGCTTCATATTCTTTGGTCTATTGATATCACATTGTATGTTGCATTTATCATACTTAAGAAGGAAAATATAGTGGATCCAGCTAATTACCGTTCTATTTTCTCTACAACACCATCAGCTGACTGCATGCCAAACCTTTGTATGGATATTACAGGAGTAGATAAAGGAAAAAAGCTACTATCTGAAGAACAGGCAGAATTTGAACAGTAGGATCCATGTGATGGATATTTACTGATTTTAGAGCTAGTTTAATTCAAAGCATAAACTCTGGAAAAGACATCATGTATGTATGTATGTACGTATGTATGTATCATATTTCTTAGCTGCCCATATCCCTCAGAGAAGGTCTCTGATGGTGTACAATTTAGTCAATAAAATTAAGCATAAAAACCCAGAATGAAAAATTTAATTGTTAAATTTTAAAAATGTTTAAAATTATAAAAAAAAACTTTATAAAATTCCAAGATCAGGAGGCCAACAGTTGTTAATAAAGGCAGGTAGAAATTCTCATGGTTGTGTGGGCCTCTCTGTCCCCCATGCCAGGCTACTATTTTTTAATAGTACCATGAGAGTAAGATCAAGGGAAATGTCTGTCACTTATACAGCCTTGAAAAATGGAAAACTAATGCATCATTTGGCCCAACACTGTTTAACCTTTGCATTAAATCCTTTATTGAACAAATGAATTGTCAGCATCTCTATCTTCTAAGACTGCAGACAAATACCCAGTAGTTTTCTATATGGGATGAGGGTCCAGATAGAATGAGGTCTCTGTAAACACCATTTGAGAAATAATAAAAAAATGATGAGAGTTGTTCTTGTAGAGTGGGATAGGCTGAAGCAATATGATATATCTTCCATTATCTCATTGTCCCACTTGTTCCTGATGTTTCTTGGTGTTGCCAGGATGTCACAGAAACCTTTGTTTGTTTGTTTAATATTATAATTAACCCATTATAATGAACCTGAATTTTGCATAATGGTCTGTGAAATCAGAGACGAAAAAGATTTCGATAGGTAGAAAGCAGTTTCCCTAATTTCTTTAACTGTGAAACAGAGACAATTTTATTTTGTGATTTTAGTACTGAGGGTTATATCATGTTTATTTAAAGTTGAACATACAATAGATATGTTTATGATCTGGTAATAAAGCTAACATGTGTGATGCAAATGACAAATTCTTTTTATTTGTAGAGTAATTTATGAATGGGGAACAGGGTTGAATAAGTTACTTTGATCTTTAATGTAGGGCTTAAAAATTAGTACTTATTGGCAACTATCCCCCACTCCCTTTTTTCTTAATTCCAATGAAAGAAATGCTTTGCAGGAAAAAGACAGCTGGAGACTCTCCATATATTTTTTTTAATTAAGAGAAGCCAAAAATCTTGATATGTACAATAGATAAGTGTATTACTTCTTTTTGTTCAGATATTAATTTTATTGCTAAATCCCCTATTTGGCAATAAGCTGTATTTTACTTAAACTCTGCAGGAAACATTCTTGCTGCTCTCAACAAAGAGGGATTGAAGAATGATACTTTTACATACTTTACTTCAGATAATGGAGGAAGAATAGAGATTTTTCAATGGGGTGAACGGCTGGGTGGCTGGAATGGTAAATACAAAGGTAAGAGTGTAGGCTGCAGAACTTTCAGCACTGATTGATCAAGTATTATTAGTGAAAAGTACTTCTTTAAAAATCATTCAGAGGCACATAGGAAATTTTACAGTATTTTGACACTTGCCTGTAAAATATTGTGTTCCATAAAGTAACAGCCAACTCCTGGTGACTCTACAGGTAAAAAGCTCTCCAACTCTCCTGCCTCTTGCCACTGTACATAATTCTTGTAGGTACTTAACTGTAGCTTCCAGTATTTCAGTTATCCATCTCATGTGCTGTGTCTTGTCCACCATTGTCATCTTTTCTACAAATGCATCAGACCTCATGATGGGTCCAAAGTATGATCGTTTTTGTTTCATATTCCTTGTTCAGTGACATTCAGGTTTCCTTAGTACTGGACATTTGGTCTTCTAGATTGTCTAAAGAAGTAGCTTCCATCAGCTACTTCAAAGGAATATTTCAAAGGAATCAATCTTTTTCTTTGCAGAATTCATCCCTTATGCCATCTGTACATAGCAATAGGAATGACCAGTGAATTACCATTCTAACTTTTGTCTCAATTGAAGCATCAAATTCTTTTCTGAGTTTATACAGATCCCCAGTTTGATTTTGCCCATTGTTATTCTTCTCTGAATCTCTTGCTAGAATGTGTTGTTAGGCTATTTTCCTATAATTAAAGCATTCCTATAAATCTTCCCTTTTAGACATTGGGAAATAGATATATATTTATACTGTTTATTTTCCCTATATTTGTTGGCAAAGGACTATCATGACTTTTGTTGTTGCCACATTGGCCTATGGGGATTTCATATATCCCTGAGGCTTCCCTATTTCGCAATTGGTGTATATCACTTTTTACTATTTGTTGTCCAAAAAGTCTTCTCTCTCAAATGCAATGTCACCTTCGTTGGCCTTGTTCAGATTTTTGAATGCTCCTTCCATCTTTGGTTAACATTATGTTCCATCATTAAAACCTATTTATGCTTGTTTGTTATGACACTGCTGTTGATCTCCTCTGGCTTACAACATCTTCTTTTCATAGCTATTTCTGTGACTTTGTTTGATTAACAAAATATCCATATTTCTCACTGCTTTCCAACTTCTTTTTTATAATCATTTAGCATATTCCCACAATAGCCAAAACACTGTGCCTTCGAATGCAGATCTTTGAATCTATTTTGAATCTCAGCCTTACATGTTTATTTTCCACAATATGTTTGAGTTTATATCTCATTGGGATTGGATGCTTTTTAATTTTTCTCAGTTTAATGTTTAACTCTGTGATTTGTGGGTTATTGATCAATGTTGGCTGTATGGAGCTAGGTGAACCAATATTCTGATACAGGATAAGAAACTTCTATATTAAAATATGTTCAGGTGATAAAAGGAAGAAGGCTTGATCCTATTCAGAAATGGCCCCACAAAATAAGAAAAGAAAGATGCATAAAGAATCAGATCTATATTTGAATTATAAAAGAATATTCTGTTGCAAAAATGATCTGAAATTTGAGCAAGTTTCCATTCTAATAAGATACATTAGAAGGTAAATCAAGAAGCAATGGATGGAAACTAATCAAGGATAGAACCAACCTAGAAATAAGGAGACATTTCCTGACAGTTAGAATAATTAGTCAATGGAATGAGGTTGTGGGTACTCCAGAATTGGAGGTTTTAAGAAGAGACTGGACAACCATTTGTCTGAAATGGTTTCCTGCTTGAATAGTGAGTTGGACTAGAAGATCTCCAAGGTCCCTTCCAACTCTGTTATTCTGTTAAGATGTTTGCAATTAAACATCTTAATTGAATTAAAAAGCAAACTTGCTTATTTGGTGGATGCTTTTGTTGGTTTGTGTATGCAAAAGCTTTCGTATTCAGAAGGAAAAAGAGACTGGAACCAGTGGACTCATTTCTCTTCCTAGGCTTTATTATTAATGCATTAATGAAAGGAGAAATGTAAGACTGTAATTTAAGATTTAATGATGCATTTTTCCTCCACTGCAGGTGGAAAGGGCATGGGAGGTTGGGAAGGAGGAATCCGGGTGCCTGGAATAGTTAGATGGCCAGGAAAGATCGCTCCTAATACTGTTCTTGAGGAACCCACAAGCCTGATGGATATTTACCCCACAGTGGTGTATTTGGCTGGGGCGTCAGTGCCACAAGACAGGTATGCAGTATTATTCTAAAAGTGATTGAGAGGTATTCAGTTTTAACTAAGACAAATATGCAAAGTTGCAATCTTTATTATTCTCATCAGCAATTAGGTTAGTATAATCTATATGCACTTAAATTATGTTTTTACCTTAATAATATATCCTTGTCACTATTTAGCATTGTTCTCAGAGATGATGCACCAGTATGAGCAATATGTGTAATATTATATTTTTGTTCTGATCTGAACTTGTTGTCAAGGTATCACTGATCAAGACTGAGATTAATTCAACTAATGGACTTCAATTTTATTTCTTCTAAAAGGATAATTGATGGCAAGAACCAGATAGAATTATTGCTCAGAATTGTTCAGCGTTCAGCTCATGAATTTATGTTTCATTACTGTGGGACATATTTACATGCAGTGCGTTGGCATGACAAGGAGAGTGAGTATAAAGCTTTGTTCCCCTGTTTGTAATTATTATTTTTATCTATTTATTGTCCAGTTGTCCAATTTGCAAATAAATAAATAAATTCTATTAAAAATATAATCAAATAGCTTGGTAAACACTGAAGGAATTGGCCAAATACGAATACAAATAGAATATTGCCTTTTGATAACTTGATTATACTTAATTTATAGCAATTGTGCATGAACTGATACATATTTTGCATTTATGGAACTAGAAATAAAAAAATCAGATTTAAAAATTAAGAATACCAGATATGATCTGGAAAACTACCAGATAGATTGGCAGCCTTTCAAATTTAATTAATGCATATATTAATAATCAAGGTCATGGATCGCTGAATAACTTCACAAGTATTTGAAGGCATATAGAAAGAAGCATATATTCAAGGGAGACAATATTCATCAGAGGGAAACCCGCACAAGTGCAACAAAGGGACGTCATCTAGAAGTTTCGCAACCTACATCTACAAGAAGGACTTAGCTGGAGGTTTTCCTCGCCTTTGAGCCGGGAAGCGAAGCTACCCCGAAGATCTCTTCCACCGCTGAGCTGGAAGGGCTGGAGGAGCTGGCCGAGGGAAGAGGAGATAGGCCTCGGAGCCAGCTCGCCTGCCAGTAGCAGTAGCAGCCGCCGCCGCCGCCGCTGCCCCAGCCCGCTGCTGCTGCCCCAGCCCACTGCCCCGGCCTCCTCCTCGGCCTCCTCCTCAACTTCTTCGTCCGCCGCCTCGGCCGCCTCGTTGTGCCTAGAGGCCGCCGCCGCCTCGTCCCTGCCGCCCGGCATGTCCCGCGTCCCACGTGGCGGCGACCCATGGCCCGACTTTCTGCCACTGGAGAGTGCCAGCCTGCCCCACCAGCAGTCGCAGCCTCCCCCGTGGCGGCAAGCCTCAACGCAGCCGCCCGCCTGGGCAATCCGGCCTGGTGCTCAGCCGACCCTCGCTGCCCCGTGCGCGGCTTCCTTTTCCTTTTTCTCCGCCATCATCGCTGCCGCTGCCTCGTCGTTTTCCTCGGGCTCCGCGGCGGGGCCTTCTCCGGTGACCTGGGCTCCCCATGTGACTTCACCCACTGCCTCGGTGGCAACCGCCACTGCCGCCGTTGCGGTGACGGCCAGCAACAAGAGGAAGCGTGACAACAAGGCCAGCATCTTCAGCTTCAATTGTACGCTGTTGCTGGGTCCTGCCGGGGAAAGCGGCGGGCCGGCGTTGGGAATGGGCCCTTGGGGAGGCTGTCAAGCAGGCCGGAGGAGCTGGCCTACACTGGCACCCCATGGAAGAAGACGAATTACAGTCCCGCCGTGGCTGGGTTGACTTTACACAATTGTTGGATGTCCGGAGAAGCCATTGATGAGCTGCACGAAAGGTACTTGGAGAAGTTGACCCAGCTCTTTGAGGAGCATAAGGCCAAGTACGGGCTGCCCCAAGACAAGTACCTAATGATCACCTAGCCGGCCACATTGGACCAGCCTGGGACACAGAGGGGCAATATTTTTTAGAGAATATTTGTTGTGGGTATGTGTATGTATGTAGATGAATGGTGGCCCTGTTATGTATAAATTTTATTATTGTATTTAGGGCGTATGAATGTGAATATTTTTATTTTTATGTATATAAATTGAGTGTGAATGTGTACTGAGTGTTTGGGGTATGAGAATGGTGGAGTCAGGGGTGGAGCCTGGTACCCCCTCTGCTGAGTGCAATAGCAAAAGTAGGGGGGGCAGGACTTACCCTTGGGCTTGGTCTGTATGGAAAGCTAGTCCGGTCAGGAAGGGAGAAGGCTGGTGAGGGTGGGGGTACTCCGGGGAGGGGAGAAGGTCGGAGCATCCCGGTTATGACTGGGATGGGCAGATATGGCAGGAGCCGAGGGGCAAGCCATCTTTGGGGAATGAGGACTCACTATATTAGAGCGATTCCTTGTTCCGGCCCCTCAAAAGGCTCATCCTGTAGTACTGGTGACAGGGGAGTACAGGGCCCTAGTTGTAGGCTGCTGTTGCTTAATGCCAGGTCCGTTGTCAACAAAGCCCCCCTTGTCTGTGATTTAATATTGGACAGCGGGGCGGACCTGGCATGTATAACCGAAACCTGGCTGGGCCCTGAGGGGGGTGTTTCCCTCTCGGAGATGTGCCCGGATGGGTTTGTGGTGCTTCATCAGCCTCGACATCAGGGCAGGGGTGGGGGAGTGGCAGTCATCGCTTGGAAGTCCTTGAGTCCTCGTGGGATTCCTGCCCCGGAAGTTGTTGGGTGTGAGTCCCTCCTATTGAAGTTGGGTTCACAGGTTCAGTTGGGCTTGCTGCTGACGTACCTACCTCCCAGCTGCGTTGCAACAGCCCTGCCTGCGTTGCTGGAGTCAGTAGCCGGGTTGGCGGTGGAGTTCCCCAGACTTATGGTACTGGGGGACTTTAACCTACCATCACTCGGCGATCGCTCAGAGGTGGTGCAAGAGTTCATGGCTTCCATGGCAACCATGGACCTGACCCAGGTAATTCTCCGACTCATAGGAGACCTTGAATGGAGACATGATCTGGAATTAAGGGCTCGCCCTTGTCATGGACAGATCATTTCCTATTGAGGCTGGACTTCAGAGCATCACTCCCCCATGAGGGAGAGGGAGCCGACTAGGTGGTTCTGCCCCAGGCGCCTAATGGACCCAGATCGGTTCCAGGAGGAGCTTGGGGAAATACCTGACTCCCTTGTCCACAACTCGTCCAATGAGGCGGCATCCGGGGCCCTGGATCGAATTGCGCCTTTGCGACCTCTCTGTGGTGGTGGTCCCCGGAGGGCGCCTTGGTTTACTGAGGAGCTCCGGGAGATGAAGCACCACAAGAGACGTCTAGAGCGACGTTGGAGGGCCAGTAACTCTGAATCTGACCGATCACTATTAAGAGCCTATCTTAGGACTTATTTAGTGGTGATAAAGGCGGCAAAGCGTGTTCACTTTTCCGCACTTATTGCATCCGCAGAATCTCGCCCGGCTGCCTTGTTTAGGGTGACCCGCTCCCTTCTTAAAGTGGAGGAGGCGGAAGAACCCTTGAAGGGGAGAGCTGAGGAGTTTGTTCAGTTTCTGTCGGACAAAATCGCTCAGATTCAGAGAGACCTGGACTCCGACTGGGCAGTGCCAGCCGAGTTGCCGGGGGCTGGTCTTAGTCATGTTATCTGGAGCGAGTTTGAGCCTGTGACCCCTGATGAAGTGGACAAGGCCATGAGGGCAATGAATGCTGCCACCTGTTTATTGGACCCGTGCCCCTCCTGGCTGGTTTCTGCCGGTAGGGAGGTGACACGAGGCTGGTTCCAGGCGATAATCAACGCCTCCTTGATGGAGGGGTCTTTCCCGCAACCTTTAAAGGAAGCGGTGGTGAGGCCCCTCCTCAAGAAGCCTTCCCTGGACCCAGCTGTTTTGAAGAACTTTCATCCTGTCTCCAACCTCCCCTTTGTGGGGAAGGTTGTAGAGAAGGTGGTGGCATCCCAACTCTTGCAATCCTTGGATGAAACTAATTATCTGGACCCTTTTCAATCTGGTTTCAGGCTCGGCTACAGCACTGAGACTGCTTTGGTCGCACTGACCGATGACCTCTGGCGAGCCCGGGATAGGGGTCATTCCTCTATCCTGGTGCTTCTTGACCTCTCAGCGGCTTTCGATACCATCGACCATGGTATCCTTCTGCATCATCTGGGTGGGGGTGGGCAGCACCGTATTGCGGTGGTTCTTCTCCTACCTCTCTGACAGGTCGCAGTCGGTGTTGGCGGGCGGACAGAGATCGACCCCTAGGCGCCTCGATCATGGGGTGCCTCAGGGCTCGGTCCTGTCCCCTCCTCCTTTTTAACATCTACATGAAACTGCTGGGTGAGATCATTCAGCGACACGGGATGAGGTATCATCAGTACGCGGATGATACTCAATTATATATCTCCACCCCTTGTCCTTTCAGTGAAGCAGTCGACGTGATGTGCCAGTGCTTGGAAGATGTGAGGGTCTGGATGGGGGTGAACAGGCTTAGACTCAACCCTGACAAGACCGAGTGGCTCTGGGACTTGCCTCCCAAAGGTCAACTGGATGATCCATCATTAGTCCTAGGAGGGGGAATTTACCTCCCTCAGTGCAGACACACAACTTGGGTGTCCTCCTGGACTCACATCTAAATTTGGAACAACATCTATCGGCTGTGGCCAGGGGGACCTTTGCCCAGGTTCGCCTGCTGCACCAGTTGCGGCCTTATTTGGACTGGGAGGCTTTACTCACGGTCACTCATGCCCTTGTCACCTCAAGACTGGATTACTGTAACGCGCTCTACATGGGGCTACCCTTGAAGAGCGTTCGGAGGCTGCAGTTGGTTCAGAATGCAGCCGCGAGAGCGATTGTGGGCACGCCAAGGTACGCCCACGTATCACCTATCCTCTGCGAGCTGCACTGGCTTCCTGTGGGTCTCCAGACGCAATTCAAGGTTATCACCTTTAAAGCCCTTCATGGCATAGGGCCAGGTTACTTACAGGACCGCATACTGCTGCACAGTTCCCAGAGACCGGTGAGGTCCCATAGTTTGGGCCTCCTTCAGGTCCTGTCGGCCAGACAATGTCGGCTAGTGGGCCCTCGGGGAAGGGCCTTTTCTGTGGTGGCTCCAACCTGGTGGAATCAACTTCCCCCCGAGGTTCGAACTACTCCCACCCTGCCGGCCTTTAAGAAAGCTGTTAAAACTCTCCTGTTCCGGCAGGCCTGGGGCTGATGTCCCCGGGGGGGGGGGCGGGATATGATCGGACACGCTGTATGATTGTATTATTTTATTGTTTTATTGTTAGATGATTGTTTTAATTTTGTACGCCGCCCTGAGTCCTTTGGGATTGGGCGGCATATAAATAAAATTAAATAAATAAATAAATAAATAAAACTGTTCAATTTAATTATGTAACAATTATTTTAAATGGAGGTCACTTTTGGCATAAAGCAAGTAATGGTAGATGTTGTTTCAATTACAATGGGGACAATTTGGATTATTCATTGAATGTATCATATTAGAAAGAATGCCATAGTACTTTACTTCTATCATTCACATAATAAATAGACATGATGTCCAAAATATAAAATTGCATGTTAAATTAAATGAAGGTTTGCACTTCCTTAGCTGACCTGAAAATGTCCATCAACACCACCAATTATTAAAAAAATAAAATAATATATATAAGAAGATGTGACATATAGGAAGTAGGAGAAAGTGGATGGGCTGCAGGAACAAAAAAAATCAACAAAAGGTTTAGGGAGGAAAAAGCAGAATTTAAAGTTCCTGAGTTTCTCTTGATCCCCGAGTTTCCAATATTTTAATTAAAATGGGTGATATGTAAACAAATTGATGCCTGTCCAGAAATACATCAAATTATGACATAACGTACTAATGGGAAACCAACATGTAACATATAACAGTTTATTTCAATGCAAAAACAAATCCCTGCAGAAATCTACCCTTTTAAGAAACTGATACAGACTCAAAATAGATAGAAACTGTCAAGGTACAGCAAATTAGGTTTCAAAACTGAGAGATTTTAAGACAATTCACAAATCTATATTGTGAACCTTGAATATTTTTCATTATCTGTTCTGTCCACCCCCTGCTGAAATAAAGTATTTTTCCTATTTATTTGACATAATGGAAGATCAAAATCAAAATGTACAATTATATTCTTTCATACAAAGCTGATTATTTAGTTTCTGATTGCTTCTCTTAAACATGTAAAAATGTTCAACTCTAGTTTTTGGAATTTGTGACTCTAGAGTTTAATTTTTAAAAAAATTACAGTGATTTAATCAATAAAGTTATTGTCTAAATAACTACTTTTCAATTTAAATATCAAACATACCTTTTATAAACAAATCAAAGAATTTTTTTTACTAAGAGTAACAAAGTGGTGATATATTTCTGTAAGATGAAAATGTGTAGTTTTGTATTTTTTTTCTATTTTCCACTCACAAATGAAGCTCTTATGCTTCAAACTTTCCAGATTTTTTTATCTCTAACTGCATTATGCTTAAGGATATTTAACCATGTAGCAGGGCTGTATTAGCAGGGCTTTTTTGTCATACAACGTTCAGATTGGAGTTCCAGCACCTTTTTTGGATGGAACCTTGTAGGGTAGGCAACCTTGTATGACATGTGTGAGTTCCGGCACCTTTTTTTTCTTCAAAAAAAGCACTGTGTATTAGTATTATACTCCTCATCTTTCCTATTACTTTCTTCTATTGGTATCTTATGATTATTACTTTGTTATTTGTATGTACACTGACAGCTGATGCACTAGAGATGAATTCCTTGTATATCCAATCACATTTGGCCAATAAAAGAATAAAAATACAGAATACCATTCAAGATAAAAAAAAAACCTCTTTGGGATAGAAGTATTTTGCTGCAACAATCAGAGACC